GGGCCACATGCCCCTAGCTCTCAGCCTTTGCAGTCCAGCTGCAGTTAAAATCCTCTGGCCTAAGGAAATCAAGGAGCTGAGGTGCTGCTCTGCTGAATGAAGCACCTATCTCATGTGTGGACAGCTCAGTGGGAGCCTGGGAAAGGGAATAAATTGGATTTGCTCTCTGTTAATGCTCACCAATCTCTTCCTGCCATCTGTGTAACCTGTAGCAATGCACAGTCCTCTCGGCACTTCTGAGTGCCCTGTGACACCTGAGAGGTGCAGCTCCTACAAATCCCTGGGAAATACACCCCCAAGTGTGGAGGAGTTGGCATTCACAGGAGCACAGTGCTCCCCAGTGAGCAGCCAGCAGTAACTGAATATGAAACTGAGATCCCCATCAAGTCCTCCTGTTCAGGAGCTGCCTCAGCTCAGAAGAGTGACTTTCCATGCTGTTATAACTCCTGCACCTGGAGGAGCTGGGACGCAACCTCAGGGCTGCTTCTAGGCAAGGAGGCCAGTGTTAAAGGATTTGGAGCAAGGTGGGCTTTAAGATGCCTCCCAAGCCAAACCAGTCCATGACATTATGATCTTCACCTCATGAGGCTTTTGACTGGCGCAGGGGTACCAGGGTGACAAGTGTCATGTGTGTGACACAGAGCAAGATGTGGACAGAGAGATCTGTGAGTAGCTGGCGTGACATGAGTAGCATTTGGGAATGGTTTCCTGGTTGCTTGCTCTTGGAAAAACTCTGTTGGCTTAACTGGAGAAATTGCTGCCTTGTGGGCTGAGTAGGAGGGGAGGATCATCCATGCAGACTGCATCCTCTGGGCAGTGGGAAGGAGCAATATTCCCAACAAATATCTCTCCCTTCTCTCTTGACAATGTAAGATGATCAGGGCAGCTGTGCTTTACAGTTTCTGGTCTAAGCCCACGCCACATTTCTTTCAAAAGCTTTCCTGTGTTGGGTGCTTGTGGTCCTGCCTGTAAAACAGTGCTTCCTGAGAGCCTTCCTGATAGTCCTCTCTGGTTTCTTTACTTGGAGGCTGGAGCTCTGATGTTTGGCTTCTAGATTTGCACTTGCTCTCTCCCCCTGCTTTCTGAACACCCTCTGTGGTAGCCTGAGGTGTGCTCGAGCCTCTCCCAGCTGTTGGTGTGACTGATGTCCCTCAAACATATTGAATTCAGTGCACCACAGGTCTATGGGTTCCCCTTGCATATGGGCCTGGCTCTGCCACCTCAGGTGACACCATGACCAGGCAATATCCATGGATTTGCTCTGTGCAAGGACAGCAATATCACAGAATCCCAGAATCATCAGGGTTGGAAGGGGCCTTAAAGCTCATCTCACCTCGATCCAATCATCATCTCAATCCACCCCCTGCCATGGGCAGGGACACCTTCCACTAGACCAGGTTGCTCCAAGTTCTGTCCAACCTGGCTGTGAACACTTTGGGGGAAAGTCAGTCTTAATGTGAAAATCTCACTTTTGGTCAGAATATACATTTTCCACTGGAGCCAAGACAGATGGAACACTTTGCCCATTCGTGCAGCAGTGTCTCACTCCTGGCTGCATGCAGTTGGTTTGGAAGAATAGGTTTATTTAGGGTAGAGGCTATTTAAAACATCTGCTTTCCCATGTATCCTGAAACACTGCAGGATTTGAAAATGGAGAACATGTATCATGCTTGTCCCAGCTACTATGAAACATCGGCTCCACAGTTTAAATTGTGGGCTTTTAATGATGGTGTATCTGTATTATTCAGTCCTGTGTAATGCACTTTTGGTTGTGGTGCTGTGTTCTCTTTTCCTGCGTTGGACCTGGGCCACCTAACCATATTGCAGTGTGTGGTTAAACATCAAATGCATCAGAATAAGCAAAATAATCACTTCCAGACTAAACACATTTCAGATTTGTTTAGAATATTGAACAAGTTTCATCACTGGGAGAGGTCTCTTCTGTGACATCAAGCTACATCAGTATGTCTTTGCTGATGCTAATTTATTTTTCCCGTGTTCTTAGACTAAAAGCATAAAGTTCTCTGAAAATCCTCCTTTGACAGTGGTAACTCTTGGCTGAGGGTCAGTCTGGGCATGTCTGAGCATTAATATCTATGTCTTCCATGGCCTCTGTTGAGCAAAAAGTTATAGACAGTTATCCTCCTCTTTCATGTGGGAAAACTGGATCATGAACAGACAATAATCCTCATCTGTTTAGCTTGGATGAGTTGGGAGAAGCTGGTGACAGCCCTGGAGGAAAGCAGAGTTTTGGCATTGGTTGAGTTTGCTACAAGACCCTTACTTTATTTAACAAAACTGCCTTCTGGTGCCCAGGGCACTACAGCCCTCCTGCTTCCATCTATCCCTTATTTTTTTGGGGCTGATTTGTCTGTCTTCTTGCTGGCTACACTTGTGCGGTTGTGGAAAGAGTTTGTAATGCATCTGTGCTCCTCAAGGATTCTCTGGCTCCCTGTTTCTCTGGAGGGAAGGGTGTAATTAAATAGTCTCCCACTGAATTCCAGTGGGTAATCACACACAGACCCTTGTCCCAAAGCAGCCCTGGCTCAGGCACCGACGACTCCTCTGGGTACTACTGCAGGAAGAGCCAACAGGCTCCTTCCTGGCCTTGAAAAACAGTGGGAATGCTGAGTAAGAGTGGGATAAATAATAAGGCTGGGTCCTGGGCCAGATAAAAAATAAAAAAAATTAAAAAAAAATAATAAAAAAGGTGGCTGCAGTCAGTAGGTGTTGTCCAAAGTTAACACTGAGCTTTCACATTGCCACAGTGAACCGTGGATGCTCTGGAATAGTCAGCTTCCCATTGGGAAGCTTTCCTTTGAGTTTAACAAGGCATTTAAGCACATGCCTCAGGGCAAAGAGGAGATTTTGGCTCCAGCGACAGTAGAGATGTAGACATGAATCTGATCATCTGACTGGAGTCAGCTGGAGATAAGATTTAAAAAACTAGTTCCTAATCGAGCTCTTCCCCACCCAGAGACAGTTTTTATCTTAGACTTCTGAAGTTCTTTACAAATGAACCCTGGCTTCCCCTTACAAAATATTTCATCCTGGGTAACAATGTAGTAAATCATTTCAACCTGCTCTTGGAATATTTATGCATGCAGCAATTATTTTTGCACACTCAAATTGTAATTTTTTTCCCTCTTCTACCTAAATAGTAGATGACATGTTACCACACAGGGATTTTTTTTCCAAATCATTGGAGTACAAGACTGATGATGGAGAGTTTGTAACAAATTGTTGTGTTGATAAACAAATGAATTAGTTTCCCAAAGTAACTGCAGCCATTAAAAAGTCCTCATATGTGTTTGGCTTTTCTATAGTTTTAATGTCATTTAGAACAAGGCATTCAGAGATGAGGCTGGATGAGTTCTGTCATAAATATGAAGTCATAGGAGCATGTAAATACAGTACTGTGTTGGTTTGAAAAGACAGGTGTCTGCTAAGGAAAGCAGAAACCACCCTGGAAATGGAAAAATGTAAACCACCCCCCCACACACACTCCAAATTATTATAATCTTGAAATCAAGGGGCTCTCAGGCAAAGATATGGGAATAGGAACAACAGTTCTTTAATAGGAAAATTAAAATACAGAAGAACCCACCCAGTGTCAGAATACAACTTGACACCCTGTCGGTAGGTGTTCCATTAAATGGTGGCTGCAGTCCTCCTGGAGATGTGGTTCTGCTGAAGTAATGGTCCTGTAGAAGGGTGGAGTTTTCCTCTGAAGGTCCTGTGGTGGTGTAGGTGGGTCTGGTTTCTCTCCTCTGGGATTTCAGCAGAGAAAGGCTGACCACAGTGCTCCAAGTCTCAGATTATATCCAGGCAGGAATGCTTGGCTCCTCCCCCTGGGTGGAGCATCCCCACAATGGGATGATGTCATTTTATCAGTCATGCAGTGAGACTCAATGGCCATTAACAGAAGATATCCCCCTGGAGGGAGGATGGGTTGTGGAAGAGGTAAAGAACACTGCCCCACCTGGTTTTAACAGCTGGCCCATTAACAGAAGATATCCCCCAGTTATAAGGGATAGGTCATGAAAGAGATACAGAAAACTGCTCTACCTGATTTTAACAGATGGTAATAGAATGCATACTTTTGGTTACATCTTGCACTGCAACCCCAGACAAGTATGGAAATCCTCAACCAAAAACTTTCTGAAGTCTCATTTTAATGTAATAATCCAGGCTTACTCCACTAAACTATGTGTTTATTGCATAGCTTTAGGGAAATATGCCTAATTGTGAATGTTAATTGTATGCACTTTTCAACATGCAATTGCTTCACAACCATTATGAGCATCGAACAAATCAACTGCAGAGAAGTATCTGTTAAATGTGCAATGTTGACTCAACATTGTGTCCTGACCTTTTGCTTTCTGAAGTATCAGGGAGCAAAGAAACAAAGTAAACCGTGTGCATGGGCCTGACACTGCAGTGCATCACTTGTGCTTGGCTTATGTGGCATCAGTTCCTTAATTAGCAAGTGGAATAAATAATAAATAATAAGAAAGAATAAAACCTGAGGCACCACTTAGAATGTGTTATCCCAGGATGAAAAGCTTCTCCCTGATTCTCTTTTCGTGTGTCCCTATTCCTGCTAAACCCCAGTAGACAGAATAATTCAGCATGTGGTGTATCAATGACCTGTCCTAATTATCATTTACCTCCTCACAGTTTAATTAAGCTGCTAATTAATGTGGCTTTCACTTTTCCCACATGTCAGGGTCACAGCAGCTTCGTCTGTAACAGATTTACCCCTCTGTAACTATCTCCAAAAGAATTCCCCGAAGTGATTCAAGAAGCCACTTGAAATAGTTCCATGAAGAGAATGGGATAGCTATAACATTTATTTATAACATTTATTTCTTCCTGTTTGCCAGGCCAAAAGGAGCTGGAAAAGAAAGGAAGAATGCAAACAGGTATTCAGGAGTGTTGCTTTTCATGTCAGGACATTCTCTGCCACTAGCCCACCAGGACAGCTGCTGACACTTCACTGGGGATGTTCCAGAGCCATCTGGACACATTCCTGTGCTCTGAAATGACCCACTATGGTCCATTTCAGCCTGAACCATCCTGGGATTCTGTGAAACTGAAGCCAGCCAAGGACTGGAGAAGAGTTCCCATTCCTTTGAAATTCCATCACCTTAGTCCTGGCTTGAGGGATTGCTGGACTGCAACAGGTAAGGGTGACCAGAGCTACCTGCAAAGCTGCTGTGGGATAATGCCTTTTATTTGAGCTGGAAACTGTTGGATCTGTTCCCAGCAGCAGCCACAGGGATGGCCTGGAGGAAGCAGCTGAAAGCAAACAAACATTGGGTTTTTACTGTTTCTGAGAACTGTCTGGGTCACCTCCTTATCTGTGATTTGTATTTCTCAGTAATAGGCTGCTCAGCTCTCGGGATGAGAGGACTCACCGCCTTGGAATTACAGCTGGGAAATGCTTTTGGAAAAACAGAAGATGTGCTGGAGGAAGATAGTGTTGTCTCTCTGGCCTGGCAGGTTTGTATAGGTTTGGGGCTTCTTTTTCCATTAAGCTGAGAAATTGATTATATTGTTTGGAGGGAGGTATTCCTTGGAAAACTCATGATTTACTCACACGCCATGTCCATGATGTTCTGTTGCTATGACCTCAAAAGAAACAAACAGCTTCCTTGTCAAAAAGCCTCCAGCTCTCTTGAGCAGGCTGTGCCCCAAGAGGTCTGACTATCTCTCTCCCTCCTCCTGTGGGTGTCTCCTGCTTCCTTTGGGATTTCTCCTTAGGTATTTGTTTCCTGTCCTTTATAAATGGTCTGTGGATCTCTGAGTCAGTCCACAGCTTCCAAAGTAACCGTGTGTTTATAGTATTCTGGGAGGAAAAAGATTTTAGCTTGGGAGTAAAACAAGATGACATTTCCACTGACTTTTGTATTGTGTTTGACTTCGGATCATGCATTGCATTTTACGTTTCACCGTGTGTAATTCCTCACCCCTTGTGGACTACAGAATAAGATGGAAAGAGAGGCATAAGGGAGGATAATTGGATTAAAAGCAGTGTTTGATTGTGGTAATGTGATGCTTCTTTCTGGCCTCAGTCTCTGAATTTATAACTGAGGGCCAAGCAGATCCCAGTGATGCGTGCACTGCCAGGACTCAGTGTGGGGGACAGTGCTGAATCCCAAGAGAGACAGTATCCTACAGCAGGGTAGGATAATCTGCTCCAGGTGGGAGCACAGTGTCTCAGAGCACTGTTATTCCATTAATGATGTTACATCAGAGCATTATATGAGTGGATTCCACTCATTCATTTCAACTCTAAGGGCTGACAGTAGTGAGGAATTCCGTGCCAACCACACCTCCCTGAGGATTTCTTGGCTCTGAAATTCCTTACATGCTGGAGCAAATGATCTCCAGCAACGTGGGGCTTCCCCTTTCTGGGGTGGCTAGTGTTTGCTCTGGGATTTCTCAGCATGTGCAGGCAGAAATTAATCTGCTTCTTGCATGAACGGCCCAGGTCTACTCTGGATGCACAAACAATGTGTGCACAACCCTCTTGAGAGCTGGGTTTCTCATTCCTCATTGTTCAGGTCTCTCAAACACTTGCTGAAATCTCTGACTAACAGAAAATCTTAATTGTTGTTCAAACTCACTCTGTGGGCAGGAAAAAAAGCACAAATGGAGAGAAATATGACCTTATCTGACAGGCTCTGAACTCTGTGGTGCAACATGACCCTGCCTTGAGCTGCAACAGAAGGAAATTCGCCTTGCGATCAGACAGTTGTTAAAAATGGGTCTATTTCTGTCAACCCAAGTGGGGAAACCTTTGGATCCCATTCAACAGGTTGGGATGACTCAACTCCCAGCTGAGCCGGTCACCCTGCACCAGTACATACAGTATGTGACGCAAGGATTGATTCTTGGCTCGCTTACTGGGAATTTTTTTGTGTCATGTTGCAAAATCCTGTACTGTTAACCCCCTAGCAGCCTCGTGGTACAAGCTGGACCTTCATTACCCTCAACATATGATGAGGAATAGGAAGTTTCTGACCTAATTCCATCAAATCAGTCTCCTCCTTATCATTTCCCAGGTTCTGTGGGACATTTCTTCTGACATCTCATCTCTTATGAGTTCATCTCTTACAGCCTACAACAGGGAACAAGATTTTCATAACCCTTTAGCAGTTCTGAGGTGGAGGATGGGATCTTTCCAAAGCACTCACCCTGTGAATTGCCCTTCTGTGGAAATAAGTGGTGAGCATTCTCAATTTCCATGGGACCAGGCTCAGAGCAACAATAGGATTTTTGTAGAATCCCACAGATCAAGCCAAGTTTTGAGCACTCCCCATCCTGAATTCTCTTTAAGGACAAGAAGGGAAATCCCAACAGGAGACCCCAAAGGAACATAAAATTTTCCCTGCTCATTTCAGCACACAGTGTGGGAGCAGAGACCTCTTGTGAACTTGCCTGAATGCTCCTACCTCTGTTTATTGTGAAAAAGATGGAAGATGGGCTTTTTCAGATATATTCCCACGTGATCTTGAATTAAAGGAGCCTTGGCCCTGCAGTATCAGGACATTTTGTGAATCACCTTTGCTCTAGAGTGCAGACAGTGACATTGGTCTTGGAGGGAACAGGTTTCTCCCAAAATTATCACAATAGGAATCACACTGAAAGGAACCTTAAAGCCCATCTTATTCCACCCCATGCCATGGGCAGAGACACCTTCCACTATCCCAGGTTGCTCCAAGCCTCGTCCAGCCTGGCCTGGAACACTTCCAGGGATCCAGGGGCAGCCACAGCTTCTCTGTGCAACCTGTGCCAGGGCCTCAGCACCCTCACAGGGAAGAATTCCTCATTTTCCTGGATCTGAAATCCATGTTATTAGGCTGTAGAGTTAAAAGAATAATAAAAAATGAAATTCAATTTTTTTTAAAAAATTAATCGGCCAAGTTATATTTCTCTTATTTATTTTAATCTAGAAATTGGGAATTTCAGCCTCTGATCAATGACACGATATGAGACTGAGACTTGCAGATAAAGGAAGTGAGTGACTCCTGTCTGAAAGATTTGTAATGTAAGTAGATCAAGATGCTGCCGAGGGAGGGGGGCATAAAATGAAGTGGTTGGTTGAACAATAAGGTTCAAAGTGGTTACTGGATTAGAATTCCCACCAGCATTCAGCCCAGGTTGATTCATCTGCCTAAGGTTGTGTTCTGAGGTTGTGTTGGCTTGAGGAATGCTGTTTCAGTTCCTTGCTGCTGGCTAGCCCAGAGGGCCACAAGCCATGTGTGACTGAGCCCATTTCTTGGAGAAAGACTGAACTTCAATTCCACTCCTCCAGGGGCCTCTTCTTGAATCCCAACTAGAAAATGTTGCATCCTCTCAGAAGGAGTTGATACAGCTTTTTTCTGTGGGTGATTAAAACAAAGCAGTATCCTCAATATCACCTGGCTTGGCAAAACCACACTGAAATCTAAGTGAAAAGCCAACTTTTTTTGAAGTTCTCCCTGTCCTAGATGTGAAGGCTCCAGCTGTGTCAGCAGCAGCACAGAGCTGCCACTCCCAGTCTGTGCAGCTCCTGGCTCTGCATGTCAGTGTGGTAAAAATACAGCTGTTTGAAATCTAGTGGAAATATTAAGGGTTTAATTATCATCTGCTGTGGAGCCTCTTTTTTTTCAACCAAGACTGAGGAGATAGGAAGAATTTGGCTGCTGTTCCCTGCTCCTGCACCATCCTGCCACACTGAGAGCTGAAGAAACTTGCTGGCTCCTGTGTTTTCAGTGGCCCTTCTGGCAGGAAGGGATTAGAGGGAATTACACCTACTTCTATATCCCTTTGTTCCAGGCGAGAGTGTGCGCCTGTCCCCTGCAGATCCCTTGGCTGTCTGCAGCTTTATGTGAAAGAGGGGAAGTAAGATCTATTTTTAGGCCATCTGAGTGGCCTGTTATTGGAGGCAAGGTTGTTGACTCATGCCCATCTGATATCATTTAAAGGGTTAGATATTGCCAGCTAACAAAAATAAGTGCTGCTACTCCCACCTAGTCAATAGAATTAACCTTTCTCAGCTGACCTTTGCTTTTATGGCAGAAGCTGTGCATCCCCAGGGCCCTGTTAATAATGTATACATGGCTGAGAAGGTGAAAATCTGGATTTTCTTGGGATTGCAGTGATGGAAACAGAAATATGAAGGCAGCAGAGTTGCCAGGGAGCCTTCAGCTCTGCTTATGTTCATCCCTATTCAAAGAACCCGCAGCAATTATAAGGGATGGAGACAAAAAGCTGCTCTCTTAACACCAAGGGCTCTTTCCTTTCCATGGTAGAGTTTTGGAAAGGTCCTTTCCTCCTCCTCTTCACCCCAGCCTGCCTCAGGAGCATTCTCTCTGTTAAATAGAAACTCCTCTGCTTCCTGTCTGTTGGTTTTTGGCGTCAGTTTTGAAGCCCTGAATCTCTCCCTGGGGATGTACACTGGAGAACTGATGGGAACCAGTTTCCTATCAGCAGCTGAGATGCAATTCCTGGCTCCACTTTTCTAGGGAATCACAGTGCACAGACCTGGACAGCATCATGAGCACAGTTGTAAGAGACCAAGTACCTCTCGTGGGCTGAGTGTGTGAAATCCTGAGGCAAATACTTCTTGCAAACTCAGGACATGAGGGAGGGTAGGAGGGGGAAACATCAGCTCATAAAGCTTTGCCTGCTGGCTCAGGAGCAGGGAAAGAAATGAATAAAAAGTGAATGTAGTTCTGTTTCTTTTTTAGGTCACAGCTGGAATTAACCATAAGGTATTTAACACTGAAGTGGAAGGAAAGGATGAAACACTAGGGAGAGGAACTGCTTGGAAACTGGTAAGCCCAATGTCCCTTTTAAACAAGGAGGATGAAGGATTTGCTTGGTGTAAGGTCACCCTGCCTGCAAGATCCTTGTCTTTCTTTCCCCCAGCTGGGATAAGGAAAGGCAGGGCTCCAGGTATCCCACCTGAAATGTAAGATCAAGGGGAGGTGCAACAGGCAGGTGGCTGTGGGTGAAACAGGCTTCCCAAATACACCTTCCACTGCTTCCACTGTGGCTGCTGTGGCCAGGCTGACTCTGAGAAACCACAGCTAGAGAATACCAGAATGAATCCCAGAATGGTTTTTGTTGGAAGAGACCTTAAAGCCCATCCAGTTCTACCCCCTGCCATGGGCAGAGACACTTTCCACTATCCCAGGTTGCTCCAAGCCCCATCCAGCCTGGCCTTGGACACTTCCAGGGATGAGACAGCCACAGCTTCTCTGGGAAACCTGTGCCAGGACCTCACCACCCTCACAGGGAAGGATTTCTTCCTAATTCATAACCTTAATGTGCCCTCTGTCAGTTTAAAGACTCATGGAATCCCAGAATCATTGAGGCTGGAAAAGCCCTCCAAGGCCATTGAGTCCAACCTGTGCCCAATCCCCACCTCGTCACCCAGCCCAGGACACTGAGTGCCACATCCAGGCCTTCCTTGAACACCTCCAGGGATGGGGACTCCAAACCTCCCTGAGGAGCCCCTTCTGATGCCTGACAACCCTTTCCATGAAGAAATTCCTCCTGAACCTTCCCTGGCACAACTTGAGGTCGTTTCCTCTTGTCCTCTTGCTTGTTGCCTGGGAAAAGTTGCCGATACCTACCTGGCTCCTGTTTTCGAGTGAGAAGGTTTCCCCTGAGCCTCCTTTCCTCAGGAGACAGAGCTGAACTCCTCCCCACAGCCACTCTAATCCCTTCAGCTGCCCAATGGCCAGCAGATGGCCATTTCTCCCACTGAAAGAATGCTGATAGCTGCTCTCTGGGTACACCCTTTAGCTCACCATAGTGCCCATGGTGCCTTGATTGCACTGCTAGTATTCAGCCTAATCAACATCAAATGGGGTCCTGCTTTCAGAACAGATTTTTCTGTACCATGATAATAGGAATTGTCTCAGAAATATTCCTGGGAAGGGGTTGTTTTTCTCCCAGATGAGAATGGGGACAGAGAATAGCACTCTAGAGCCAATATCTGAATCAAACTCAACCCTTTGTGGGGTTTGGAAGGACTTCTTTAAAGTGTTGGTCAGCGTCACTGGATGGATAGAACAAAATTTATGCTGCTCCCCAGGTTAGTACTGTGCTTACTGGGATGTGTTCCCTTTCCCCTAGGTAGAAAATTTATTCTAGACCTGAAGACAACCTCTTCCCCAATGTGGGTAAATTCCTTTGTAATAAAAACACATTTTATTTTTCTGAGAAAACAAGATTTTTCACAAAGGTAGTGAGGGAGAACTGCATTCAGAAACACACAGCAAGAAAGCACATCACAAGAATATAGGCCAAGTAGTCATCAACAATTATAATAGCTTCTTGGAGAGGACCCCAAAATAGCGAAAAAAAAAAAAAAAAAGCTTCTCTTTATTGTGATATGTGGATTAATGATACGTTAATAGCTGAGGCATGTCTTTAATCATTATTTGGTTTTAAAAAACCTAAGCAGAGCCAGGATTGTCTTTGGGCTGAAGGGGCATTTGCAATTTCCCAGCAAGGCAGACACTGGGATCATACCCAGCAGCTGTTGGGAATCACAGGCATGGTCCAACAACACCCAGAATGCACATGCCTAACTTTACCCTTCCTCCATAAAACTCGTGGTACTCAGTGACAAGGCACAGCAAAAGAAATGCTGGATAAAGGGGGAAAAGATGGAGCTGGCCAAGTCAGGCAGGAGGCCTGTGTCAGAGCCAGGAGCTGAAATCACCTCTCCTGAGGATGTTCTTTACCATCACTGCCAGAGGCAGAGCTGACCTTCCCGTGGCTCCCTGTGCAAGATCCCAGGCTCCACAGGACCTGACACTTGGTTCCAGCTTCTCACTTTTATCTTGTTTGCTCCTTGGCCCTCAGGCTGCTTTCAGAGTGGGCCACGAGCATCAGGTGAATTGCTGTCTGAGGGCTTTTCCAAATTAGAAAAGAACAAACAAAACCCAAAACAAAACTATATAAAACCCCCAAGCTATGACAAAAAAAACCTTCTCTGAGAGTTTTTTTTTTAACCCAAGCTTCCAAAGAAGTTTAATGCTGTGGTGGAGGACTGTGTTGTGCAGTGTGGTCTGGAGGAGGGGAGGAGAAGGGAGAACAGGAATTAATCCTGTGGCATGTGGTGAGCAAGATACTCACCTTGCAGACAGATGCTCTTCAGCAGTTAGTGGGGATGCAGTCCTTGCCTAGTTGCATTTAGCCAATCCCTGACCTTTTAGATCAGTGGGAAGCATCCCAGGCAGTCAGCAGACTTGGGAAAAAGCCCCAAATGACAGAGAAAATTAAACTTTGGGAGTTTTGAACTGTTATTGTTTGACTCATGGCTGCGGGTATTTTCCTCTCTGTGCAGCTGCTGGGAGAACTGGGGGTGGCTACTGGGAGATGATCAAATCCATGTGACATCCCTGAGGTGAAAGAGCTCTGTGGTGAGGCTTTAAAATGTTACAGCAATCCCAACAACCAATAATCCTGATAGGTAAGTCTGATGAGTCTGGGAGAGCTCTTCTGTGAAATTCCTGGAGTTATTTGGGAAGTGATAGCAACCACTGCCCCCAGGGTTATGTAGGAGAGGTCAAAGGGATGGGTTGTTGCCCCCAGGAAACTGCTTCCAAGAGAAATGGGAAATAGAAATAAAGGGGCTCTTGCAGATTTGAAAGAAGAAACAGGAGGGTTGGTCAGATGTGGGGGCTGACAGCTCCTCTGGCTGCTTTTGGGTGCTTTCTTGGAGGAGCTGACTGTCTAAGGAGGGTTTTAATGAGGTGAAAAGGAGCTCAGCTGCTCCAGAAGTTAGGACCAAGGATGGCTATATCCTTGTAAATCCTGTATCAGTTGTAGAGAGGAAGAGAGGCTCAGGAAGCTGCAGGGCTGTGCTGCTCACAGCTGCTGATTCCTCTCTTCCCTCTCTGCTTCCAAGAGGGGTCAGAGCCAGGGCAGCAGTCAAAGTGCCAGGGAGAAGTTTCAGTGCTGATAGCCATAGTTTCTCCTCCATCTGCAAAGCTGAAAATGGAGAGAGACCAAAAAAAATCTGAAGTACCACAATGA